AGCTACACCTGTAAGACAGGTTTAGAGTGATTAGCAAGTGACAATAAGAAAGAAAAGATAGACGCACGGCGACGGCGTGCAGCAAGTGTGAGTGGTACATGCAAATTAAGATCCGGAGCGTTGAACGAGCTGATTCGGACTGCAGACGAAACCGTGTCTGTGCGCGTGCACTGTATGGTTTATCTATGGCGTCCAATGGGAGATGCAGTAAGCTGAGTCGTCGATTGCAAGGTGTATCTCTGGGACGTTCCGGCTCGAAAGGCGAAGGTGAAGTGGAAGGCAGACGGACTCGGCTCAGGAGGGGAGTAGTGGGCCACGGCTTCCGTTCGAAATGGTGTCATGCACAGCACTAGGGAATGTAAATGCATGCGGTGTGAGCCCATCGAGAGTGATGTCAAGTAAAGCATATAATGGGTGGGGAAGGAATGTGTGTGTGAGGTCGGAGAGAAGATTGCACCTTGAAAATGGTGGTACATGGATATTGTTGCGAGCGCGTGCTCACCGATTGTTGCTTGCGTTGTTGAGCAGGAAGAAGTATGCGAATGCATGAAATTATTGAAGAAGTCGTTCGGCATTGGTCAACAATGCGGATGCGCGAATGCAACTGTAAAAAAGAAGGCGAGCATAATAAAAAGGAGGACAACAAAGGAGAGGCAACGCAAGAGGCAGAGTGAGGAGCAGGAGGGATGAAAGGGAGACAAGAAGTTGGGAGGAGAGGGATGAGCAGCTATTGTGCGAGGCATTATGAAGTGGACCGGCTACTTACGCTTTACGCTGAAGGATGGCATAGCCAGCTGGGTCGTGTCGTCACAGAATCTGAGGCTCAGCGCGGGCATCGCAGTAGCAGATTAGAGAGACGAATGCAGCGATGTTTATTGTCTAGGTGGTTGCAGGCAGTGTGCCTGCTGGAGGATGCTTGTAGGCAGAGTACTGGACTGGAGAGGATAAAAGCGACGACATAGCGGAGATGGTGGAGGTAGGAGGGAAAGGAGTGACGAGAGCAAGTGCGTCATTATATGCTCTTGATCTTCGGTACTCAATTATGTAAGCACTTCGATATACAGTTTAAAAGTAAAACTAAATTATATTATAAGTCTAACAGGGTGATTGTTAACAATATTAATATATATAATTGCATATTATCTTACTAAAAGTATTATAATCAACTTACAAGCACAATACAATATTTTTATAACTATTATAATCTATCAACTATTATTGTAGATATCTTATAATATAATTTTAACAGATTATAATAAGAGTTGAGTACTTGTACCTCACATGTAATGTTGTAAAAATACTATTAGTAAGCTTACTTGCTCTAAAACATGTTTGTAGTTTAATAGAAACTTTGTATATTTCTTACATTTATATACAAGCATTATAATTACATTACAAGTAAAATATAAGTATTATTTTAGAATGTAATGCTTATGAAATAATTTAAATAGTTTACTTTTGCTATTAT